AAGAGAAACAGAAGCTTGAACCTCACCTTGGTGTCTGTGTCGTTTTTCCTCGGCTCTGCTGGACAGAGTCGTGGCTCGCGACACACCATCTCCCATAGTGTATTCAGATTTTTTAATCCATCAATGGATTCATTCATTAATGAAGACAGACCAGACCCCTCCTGATCCACTCACATCCCAAAAATCTCACCTCTGAACATTGTTTTTACTGGGAACTAAGCCTTCAATACATGAAGCCTTTAGGGTACCCTTCATCTAAGCCATAATAAAGGCTATTAGAGCACATATTATAAATTATTCCCTTATGGTTGCCCTAGCATAGTAACTAACATAGTTCTTGATAAGAATGTCTGCTACTGAATCAGTGAATTTAAAAAAAAAAACTACATGACCAGAAATAATATATGTAATTCTTTTGGGTTTCATGTTTGGGGAGGTATATGTGTTTATTTTGATACAGGATTTCAGAATGTAGTGAAATTCACTATGTACCCCAGACTGACTGAACTCACAGCAACTCTTCTGCCTCAGCCTCCCATTGTAATTCTTGAATCTTGGTGAAAAATATGTTTTGCTCTTTCATCAGGCATGAAAATCTGGTCATACAAGTTACACTGTGGCAAAATATCTCACATCCAAACACACTTCAGTAGGAGCGCGTCATGATTCATATTTGAGACTCTGAAGATATACATCAACTTATGTTTTCTCCAGTGAATGATATCCTCAATCATTAATAATTAAAAGAAACTTAGTTTCAACTTTCCTGAAGCATTTTTCTGCTATGATAGCAACTCAACTTCATTATTCAGTAATGCTTTTGCAAGTCACAAAGTATTTCACTTCCTACGTATGTTCTGTAATGATAATCCCCAGAAAATAGATGCCCCCGTGCCTTTAGGGTCTCTCTCATACAACCTTAAGTTTTTCTATGCATGAAATTCTCAGTATAGAAAGATAAATATACTTCAGAATTGTCAGAACTTTGCTTTGATTTCTGATGCAGAGATGGTCACCAACAGACATGTTGTGCGTGATTGGTTGATGACTGGAAAAAGAAATCTCTGAACCACCTGCTTACTTCCTTGAAGGAATGTGCAACAGAATTCTTCAAAGGAAAGTTACACAGCTTGTTCACTATTCCGTGTCTTATAATTTATCTGCTGTTGAATGACTGGCTAACTGTAGCACACAATAACTGGCAAAGAGAAAAACAGAAACAAAAATGTATTAGTTGCTCTTACAGGCTCTTCACTCATGTCCTTTATCCTACCAGAGTAAATAGGCATTTGTTGAGCTGCAGAAGAAAAAGTTTAGGTAGAAAGAATTGTTATTTTGCTTGTAGCTGCCTCTGAAATCTGCAATTCAGGAGCCTAGAGACTAAAGAACAAGGTGATTTAAAGAAACATCTACATGTCCTGTGCCTAATTTATACCAAGCATATTGTTGGAAAACATTGAAATATGTAATAAGGGCCTGGAGAGATAGCTCAGTGGTTAAGAGCACTGGCTGTTCCTACAGAGGACCCTGATTTGGTTCCCAGCACCCACATGGCAGCTAACAACCGTCTGTAGCTCCAGTTCCAATGAACCCTCTCAGGAAACACCCTCACAGACCTACTCAAAGGGTCTGCCTTATTAATGCCATAGATATTTCTTAATTCACTTAATTTGACAATATTTGCTTGACTCACTGTTATTCTCTGTATGTTTGAAATTTTTCTTAAGATTTTAAAATTTTCGTGTGTGTGCGTGTATGCAGCATGTGCACAGGTGCCTGTTGAGGCCAGAAGAGGCCACTGGATCCTGAAGCTGGAGCTACAGGTGGTTGTGAGGCTGCCTGATGTGGGTATATGGAAACAAAATCAAGTCCTGAAAAAGCAGCACATACTCTTACCTACTGAGCCATCTCTCCAGCCCCGAGCGACATGTTCAGAATGTCAGTTCATGTTCCATTGTGCAGAATGTTGGTTGACACATGGTTGTGTTAACTGTAGCAGAGATGGGAAAACCAGTCTTATTCGTGGTGGCCTCGTGTCTGGGTTTCTCTGGACCTCTGGACTTTTAGCTTAAAAGAATAATGTTTTATAGCAACAATTACCCATTTCTGCCATGAGATATTCCTGGAAATCACTGAGACAAACTATATTCTAATCAGTTCTCAACATATCTTACTGGTAAGACCATTTTTTTCCTACACAAGTAAGTTTTATGTCATGCATATTCATACTGGTCCATGGATGCATTTTTATGGATTCTTTATCCATCCTTGCCAGAGCACAGCGGTCAGTGCTCATTGCTGAATTCCTTCCTTCCTTCCTGTCCTTTTTTGTTGTCAAACTAAAAAAGCAATAACAATTTGAAACTGTGAAATGGGCAGGAGAGGCATTCTTGCTGGAATGTGGTGTGTGCCTGGAGCTTGCTTAGCACAGAGGCCTGATGCTGAGTGCAGCACTGAGGAATCCTGGGAATGATGGGTGAGGCAACTCACAAGCAAGTGTGTTTGCACTGGTCAGTGGGGCCACTTCCTGGCTAGCGAAGTGCTTGCTTCTTGCCCAGGTTAACTTCAAGCCTATGGGCAACCTTGTCAGCCCTTCTTCAATTCGACTTAATGGCAAAAACTAGTCTGAAGATAGTATGTGACTAGTGTGAAGATGGAATGTGATTAGTGTGAAGATGGAATGTGACTAGTGTGAAGATAGAATGTGACTAGTGCGAAGATAGAATGTGACTAGTGTGAAGATAGAGTGTGATTTCAATGTGAAATACTCTCATAGGCTCAGACGTTTGAACATTTGGTCCCCTGATGGTGGCAGTATTTTGGAAAGTTGGTGGAACCTTAAGTATGTAGAACCTCTGGAGGAAGGAGGACCACTGGGGGCAGACCCTGAGACATTGATAGCCTGGCCTCCCTTCCTGTCTGCTTCTACTTCCTAACTGCTGAGGTAGGAATGGCACAGTGTGACTAGCCACCTCACACCACTGCCACCATGCCTTCGCCACCATTGTAGGCTGTATCCCCTCAAACTGTGAGCCAAAATAAACCCTTCCACCCGAAATTGCTCCTTGTCAGGTATTTGATCTCATTAACTAACAGGAAGAGCAGCTGATAGAGCTCATTGTTGGCCGTGGTTCACTTGCACACTGTTTAATGCACCACCTCATCATCCACCATCCATATCACATTCTTCAGTGGGGTTCATTTTAATTGTGCATTTTGTAGCTGCTACTGTCTTCAGTGTAGATGTTATTGTGGTGATAATCATTTATTGTTCCCGAGGGTGGCAGAAGCCACTCAATGAAAGGCGATTGTTAGAAAGTAACTGAAACCAGAGCATGGAAAGCCTAAGGCAGCGATGTGATGCCTAAAAGCTCATCAGTGTAAGGTCTAGTCCAAGATCAGCCCCCTGGAACTTTACTTAAGCTAGACTCTGTCCCACCTGGCACTCAGTACAGTCCACTAGATCAGGTGTGTCTGCCTTCGGATCGAGGGGTTTTCTCCTAAGAAACTGCTTCCACTATAATTTTGATAATAATTTTCCTTACGTATTCAGGCGGCATCTGTCGTATCTGTTGCTGATTGCTTGTTTTACATGGTTTAAATTAATCATTTTAAGAATTGGAATGTCTGATATCACATGTCTATGACTCGCAGAGTATCAGTCATCAGGGGATGGATCAGTGGGTAAAGTGCTTGCTCTGCGAACCTGAGGACCTGAGGATGGGTCCCCAGTACCACATAAAAAGCTTAACATGGTGAGCACTGGAGGGTGGGGCCAGGCTAGTCACAGGGACCAGCTGGCCAGCCAGTCAGTGAGCTCCAGGTTCAGTGGGGTACCCTGACTTGAATCAGTTGTGAAAGACACCTGACATCAACCTCTGGCCTCACAAGCACACGCATGGGTAAGCACACTTGCTCGTACACATGCACGTACATACACTTACACACACATGCACACACAAACCATATAAAAATGCATATAGTAGTATCAGTCAGTAATATACCCAAAAATGTCTAAGTATTTATACAGGATATTTTAAACAACAACAACAAAACCCAGCCTTTCCTGTGGAGTAGAAAGTCTGCTTACTGTCAGAGGGAATAGGAAATAATCACTGAAGGACACTTCATATTCAGTTAGCAAACAGTGGTTCTCAAATCAGGAACATTGGTGTAAAGGAAGAGTGTGTCACATTCTCTTTGAGGGCAAAAATGTTTCTCCTCTGTTGCTTTCCAATATTTTTATTGTGATACCAGACTAACTCCACGGCACTTTTTTAAAAGAAAAGGGCACACCAGCAAGGGCAGCATTTATGAGTCTCCCCTTACAGGTAAAATGTTCCAGTACTGGCCAAATAACGCAGTCCAAAGTGGTAGTCCTAATAATGAATTAACTAGGTGACATCATAACTGGATCTTTTACCTCCAAACATTTCAACACTACACAGCAAGTGCTGTAAATTACCCTTTAGTTACGAAAGACTATAACCTCATTTGTGGAAATATTTGTCATTAATGATCCATTTCCTTACACAATTAAAAATGCTATTTCAGGAAGTCAGAGCATTCAGATGAAATTAACTAGGTGTTAAATATCTCAGCTTCAAATTACCCAAGAAATTGCCATCACCCTCCGTAATATCTCTACTGCTGCGTAAACATCTCACCCTGCACTAACATCTCTACTGCTGATAGGAATGCCATTAAATTTCAAGAACTTATGAATAAGGTCTATAAATATTTTCAGATCTCTAGCTCTTTGTTTCTTGAGAAACAGGCTTTCAGGGTATAGTTCAAACCCTTCATCCTCAGGTAAGCGAGTCTGGAAGGACATACGTCAAACAGTTTCAAGGTCTGCTTCATGCCAAATGAGAAGTGATGAGCTGCACTCTTCCTGCTTCTAAGCCTAACCTGTGTCAGGAAAAGATCTAAAACTCCTGTTTATGTCCCCAAACCACAAATTACCATTCACGGAGCTTGTACTGTGATGTGCCAAATAGAATCCTGATTCATTAGATCCAGGAAACTATTCATGGCTGTGCTGACCAGACGCACCCCACACCACTGTCGACCTTCCTGCCTATCAGATCTTCACAACAAATCTGGTGTTGTTTCTCTGTAATCAAACACTGGCAAAACTTGGTAATTCTGAACTTGTGTAGAAAAAGTTAGATATGTTGGTTTTTGTTTGCTTGTTTCTGGAGTAACTCATTATTGACTTAGAATACTACGTTTTTGTTGTTTGTATGGTTTTGGTTTTTTGAGGCTAAGCCTCACTCTGTAGCTCAGGTGGGCCTGGAACTTGCTGTGTAGATCTGGGACTTGCTGTGTAGACCCAGGTGGCCTTAACCACATTAAGCTCTTCTTGTCTCTGCCTCCCCAGTGCTGAGACTACAGGCATGCAGTGCCACACCCAGCCCATATTTTGAATATGTTGCTTTCTTGTTTTCCACTTTACGGGAATAGTGTAAGATCCCATTCCTGGTGTAGAAGTAATTTGTACTTGGCGTCATCCAGTGCATCGCTCTTGTTTGCTATACTAGATTCATATGTAAAAATTATATGATTCATACAATGTGACCGTCAGTCCAATTCAGATACAGCCAGCCCTCCACACCTGTAGTCTCCATAACCACTGATTCAACCAACATCAAATTTGACCAACCACAGACTGAAAATATTCAGAAATAAAGAGTCTATACTGAAGATGTACATGTCTTCCCTGGAGAAAACAGTGTAATGATCATATATGTGGCATTCACTGTGTATTTAGGACTTTGTAAGTACTGCAGACATGGTTTAAAGCATGTGGTACACAGGAAAATACGTGTGGGTTATATGTAAATGCTGCCACTGTATGAGACGAACACCTGTGATGGCACTGAAACCAGATGCCGGAGAGTGAAGACAGACATGTTGCTACCTCATGCCCCAGTACAAGTCCACTAAGGTTGTGGGTGAGGTGGCGTCCCCATGTGTCCATACATGTCCTCATGCCTCCGTCCTGACACAGCAGGTCCCAGTCCCTCCCTCATTGTGGCAGATGTAGGGGGGAGAGAGCATTCGGGGACTTTTATGAGCAGTTCATATTATTCTACAAAAAATAATTATGTAACTCAAGAGGCGGAGGTAGGAGGATCACAGCACAAGGTCTGCTTGGCTACAAGCTAGTTCAGGGGCAGCAGAGTAAGGTCTATCTCAAAAAATTTGTGAAAGTAAAAAGATTCAGGATATAGTTCAGTGGTAGAGAAACTGCTGAGCATGTTCAGTCTCTACTACTGCTAAAACATTGTATATATGCACACATACACATATACACATATATATACACACAGAGAAGTACACACAAGCACATACAAACACATGCATACACACACATACACAAGACATACACACACACATTTTCCATAGATATTGTTCCCTCATACCACAAACACATGCATGCACACACATGCACACACACACACACACACACACACACACACACTCCCCCAGTTTCTATTATATTTTGAAATAGTTTTCCTTTTCGAATGATTCACTGAAAACTTGGACTTAATAATAACTGAATAATATTTTTTCAATTAGATTTTAAGCTACTTGTTCAAGTCACCGTTACATACTGCCTCTAAACCAAAGATTTCTTCTTCAAATTAAAGAAAATCCTGATGTTGTTAACTCATTCTGAATGTTATTTATTCTGTAAAAAGTCACTGCTCAGAGCCCTGAACTGAACTCCTGCCCTTTTGTTTTCAGAGACCAAGAAAAAGAAAAAGTCAAGAGAAGAGGAGGAGGATGTCAACCCAGCCTGTGGAGTGAGTAGGAATGTCGCAGAGTTGCTTTCTCCGCGAAAAAGAGCACAGCAAATAAGTGTAGTTGGTTTTCTGTAACAATTTCTTCTGAGACAGTCTCACTTTGTAGCCAAGGCTGGCCCTCAAACATGTGGTGGTCCTCCTGCCTCAGCCTCCTGCTGCAGTGATAGCTTTGAGAAGAAAAGTCATGCGTTGTGCATGTATGTCTATCTGTAGACCCTAATTTTCAGACAAATATTTATCTTCCTGTCAAGTAATATCCTCTCCTAAGCAATCACTTGCCCCAGCTCTTCATCTTGTTCTTGGTAGGTGAGTAGCACGCCATGGGAGCCCAGACTCAGAACTCTGCAATCTGTACCTGCAACACATTGTTTATTACATAAGAGAGCTCATTCTGGCTGAGCCCCCCAGGCCAGCTCTAACCTTGTGTCTTTAATGATTCCGAAGGGAAGAGCAGGAGGTACATTTTCCACTATCTGTTGCCCAAGGACTTGGTGGCGCCTCACTGTGAGTCACTTTTGAAGTTACTTCATCTTTTTCACCGTGATACCAACTCTCAGCTATGAAGGAGATCCCAGCAAAGGCAATGGTCCAGTTTTTTTTTTTAAGTGATTTCCCCTAAAGGTTGAGGTCAAGGTCAAGGCAGGGTCAGTGTCTTTCTTAAGTTCACACCAGCAACAGTGTTCCCTGGCTCTTTCTCCCAGAGTTTAAGGTTGGAACTACTGCACCCTAACCCTACCCTGTTAGCTAGTGTTCTGGCCTGCACTGGCAAACAGTCTTCCTGCTCCCCACCCCTGGCATCCTCTCCCATCCCTCCAACCCCCCTTCTGTGGACCAACCTTCCAGGTTGTCTCTGATTACTGAACTGTCCAGTAGCTTCCAGCCTGTCCCTCCCAAGATGTCCCTTAGGAGTGTTGTGCAATGCCTGAGGAGGTCAGAAGAGGGCATCAGATCCCCTGAAACTGGAGCTATGAACAGTTGTTAGCCTCCATGTGGGTGCTGGGAACTGAACCTGGGTCCTCTGCAAGAGCAGCCAGTGCTCTTAACTGCTGAGCTCTCTCTCTCTCTAGCCCCCACCTCTTCTTTTTCTAAAGGGCACATGCTCTTTTACCAGCTCAATCCCTTTACTCCAGGGGTACCATGACCTCCTGGAAAATAAGATGGCCACAGGTGCCCTGTTGGAAGCGTTCTTCTCTAGAGCTTCTTGTAGGACATTTGGACAAAGGGATTTACTCCAACTATTTCCCTTCAGCACTGGAGATGTGAGTTACTGAAATAATCCAGCAATTAACCACAGCACCAAAGCTAAATTACCCATGATACTTAAAGTGTAAAGAACCGCTGAGCCCAGCCTAGGCTTCTGCTGATGTCATTCCTGCTTCCAGAGATCTGGACTTCTGATGGCCCTAGGCTCCGTGTCCTTCACTTGCCTTAGGTCTCAGCAGTCTAGTGAGATGCAAGGGTGGGGCATGAAATCCCAGCAGTTCTGCAGGGAACCACTCTGGTTTCAGCAGCCAGAAGCCTCCTGAGAACACAAGTTGGAAAGAGGAAGTTATAACAAATGAAAGCCAGGTGGGAGTGGGTGGCTTGTTTAGGTTTAAGGAAGGAAAAAAGAGTTCTGAGTCATTTAATGGAATACTGAATAAGCTAATTTGTGTAAAGGTTTTCAGGCTTTGTTGGTCTTCCATAGGTGATATTTTGCTTGTGATGGTTACTCAGTTGTGCATGGATTCTCACACCACTGATAGTTTTGTTTTTTTTCCCACCTGCTGTGTTTTGAAATTGCCTTCATAGTTCTCAGAATCTCCATCCCCACCTGGTGGTGTCTTTGGTATTGGCTACAAATGTACCCTCAGTATTTCTGAGGCCTTCCCAGGAGGGAAACTTTATTTCTTCCTTTTTACCTGTCAGTGAATGACTTCATGTGTTGCAATCAGCTCCTGAGTCAGCTGTCATCCAGAGCCCATCGCTCCTTTGGTTCCTATCGCTATTCACAAGCCGTCCTGGGTGACTTGAAAGCTATATACTTGGATGGTGTTTCAGGGTTTCATGTTCTATGTTGAGTCAAGGCAGGCAGGATTGCCCTTATCTCCAGTTCATAGCTGAGGAAACTTTAGCTCTGAGAGATTAAGTAACTCACTGACAGTCTTTTAGACTGCAGAATGAAGGCCAGAATCTCAGCCTGGTACCAGAGCTCGCCCCTGCCACCCTGCCACCTGAGCTCCAAGATCATCTTTGTCTCACTCTGAAGGAAAAAAAATCACCACATTTAGAAGTAGGACAGAAGAAACATTTTCAGCATGAAAGGAGTCCATTTCTCTGGGAATCTAAGGCTATGCCACAATAAGGAAGAGCACCTGGTCTCACCTCCAAGACTGCTAAGTCTATAGAATGCTGATTATTGAAACGCAAGGGAGTCCAGCTCCCGTGCTGGGACTCTCACATGTCTATGTAACGACCGAGTCTGAACACATTGTGTGCACAGTCCTGTCTCTGAGGTGCTCTCTGGTGCTTGGCTGAGAATGTGAGGGCGCTTTTTGTGGAACTGAGGCCCAGGTAGGTGGGTGATGTTATAGCATGCTGCAGGGAAGAACTTGTCAGCGGAGAGAGCACTGGGAAGGCCAGAAGACCTCATTTGCGGCTAGCCAGCTGCCAGGAGCTCTCAGACTCTGTGGGGTACACCTGGGATTCTGGGATAGAGGATGAAACAGAAATAAGGGTAGAACTGGGTCGTGTTACTTATCCCCAGCTCTGACCTCAAGCATATGCTGCTGCCCCAAATCTATAGACTGCACTAAATATTCACTAACTCGGGGTATTAAATGCATAACCAGCAACAGCTCTGATGCATAGTAGGTTTTCTGGCACACTGGCTTAGGCGGTCCTAATAAAAAACTAGTTAAATGTCCTTCCAGGAACTGAGCTGTGAGCAGAGACATTTAATCCTCCAAAGGGCCCACACCAGATAGTCCAAATATAGGTTCTTCATCCTTGGAACTGTGACAGAAACTTTTCATGATAAGCTCTCCTAAGCTCAGCTGTTATGGATGAGAAGTCAGGGTCTAACACCCCAGACAGAGTAATACATAATATTCTTTACTGTGAACCCTTGTTAAAAGCGTTTTGAAAGTGTAATGGTTACACTTTTTGACATGGCACTTTCTAGCTATACTATATGACATATCCCTTCAATCTCTGCATCAACAATGTCTTTTTCTTTTAGCCCCCAAAGTGACCTGTCGGCTTCCAGAGTTCTTCAGTCATTTGCAATTTCACCAGTATCTTTTCCACAACCATCGAAGTTGATTAACTCTGCTGCCCAGTTTGTCCCTTGCTGTGTCATAGCCGTCTGGGAAGAGTGAATAGGTTTGCAGGATGGACTTGTCATGCTGGTGAAACACATTACATGGTCTAAAGAAAACGAAACACCGGGGCAAACGTCTGCAGCCACTCAGCTACGGAGGAGGCTTGGAGCACAGGCTTGCTGGCTGAGCCGTCCTCCCGAGACACACGGAGGCATTAGGACTGCCCCACATAAGCAAACAAAGCTGTCTTCTGTTTCACTTTAAGTGTGCTGCCTGGTTCCTTTAAGTCCGGGATATATCAGGGGAAAGCTGATTAGGGGCCAGCAAGGGGAATGAAAGAGCATTTAGAAGTGCTTTTGGTAAACTGGCGACATCAGACCCATTTGGACCTTCGTGTTCAAAAACCATGTTAGCACGTTCGTGGAGTAGCTGAGCTGCTTAGGAGTCTAGAACTCTGCAGATCGTTAAGTCACCATTGAAGCTGAAACCCAAACGTGCACATGTTACAGAGTTGAATTAATGGAGACACAATGAATCATCCCTTCACCTTGGCAACAGCTGAGATAGCGTGCAATGCCGTGACTGTACAAGTGTATTCTATCTCACTGCACAAAATACCTGCATAGAAACAACTTAAGGGAAGAATAATGTGGCTCAGTCCATGGTGGAGCAGAATATCATGGGCATGTGATGGAGAAGCCTCTTTACTTCTTAGAAAACAGGAAACAGAGAGAAGGGGTAAATAGGAAGAGCCAGGGTGAGACAAACCGATGAGCACAGACCCAGCCACTACTTTCTCCAACAAGCCCCACCTCCCACATTTCACCACCCCAATAATGCCATCTGATCATGAACCCATCACGGAACAACCCATCTGTTAGGTCAAAGCCATCCCGATTTAACCATGTCTGGAAACATCATCACAGATATACCCAGAGATGTGCTCCACTACCTCCCCAGGTATTTAATACAATCAAATTGACAATTAGAATTTATTACTGCAGTGTATATGCCCTGAGTCAACTAATTCCAGGTGTAACACATGTAGTCTCTAAATATCTCACTTTCACATTTCTGTAGCAATTGATGCATATTTCAAACTGGTATGGTCATGTGTATGGTCATGTTCAAGACAATAAGATCCAAGTCTAGGAAGTTCAGACTGTCTAGCATGTTACAGCCAACTTTGTGCAGGAGAGAGAGCCAGCAACAAGAAAAATGGGGGGTGGGGGTGTGTTCTTTTAGAAAAGATAATTCCTTGGAATATTAGCCATGTCTTTAAAAAGGAGATACAGTTTAGGAACAAGGTAAAGTGTTTTGTTTCCTAAGCAGTTGGGAAGTTCATTGGTCGAAAGCAAAACCAGTTGTGCCTAGTTAACTTTTGTCAACTTATCACAAACCTAGACATAACTGAGAAGATGTGGGATTTGTTCCATCATACTGGCCTGTGAGCATGTATGTGGGGGGCATCTCTTAGTTATTGATGATGTAGGAGGGCCGAACCCACTTGGCGCAATTCCACTCATGAGCAGGAGGGCCTGGACTGTATAAGAAAGGCAGGTGAGCAAGCCAGGGAAGCAAGTTCGTAAGCAGTATTCCTCCATGGTTTCTGCCTCAGCTCCTGTTTCCAGGTTCCTGTTTGAACTCCTGCCCTGGCTTCCCTCAGTGACGCACTATGACTTGGACGTGTAAGTCAGATAAACCCTTTTCTCCCTCAACTTGCCTTCAGTTACAGTGTTTATCATCAGCAACAGAAAGCAAACTAGAACAATACATTACTGTGAAGACTGAATAAGTGATAATGGCACTGGAGAGATGGCTCAGCGGTTGAGACTACTGACTCTTCTTGCAGAGGACCCAGGTTCGGTTCCCAGTGCCCACATGGTGCCTAAGAACCACCCCTAACTCCAGTTCCAGGGAATCAAACACCCTCTTCTGGCCTCCAAGTGCATTGTACGACATGGGTGCACTTACATGCATGCAAGCAAAACACTCATACACATAAAAAATATATATATTTTTTAAATGTGTTAATGAAAGTGCTTAACACGGTGCCTTGTAAGTAGTACCCAGTATACAGTAGCTGTAAGCCCTCACACCCATTCTCAACAGAGTCTACAAGACAGGAGTGGGAAATCCCATCAGGTTCCTTGCTAGCATTTCCTGCTAGATTCTATACCAAGCAGTTACCTACTAATGTCTACACTGCCCGTCAGGAGTCATAGCTACTCATAATGGGTGGTCACCTCACATCCGGCATCTAGGGAGCCCCTTCCTGTCGTATCAAAGCACGGTGGAGGGCTGCAGTGGGTGGAGAGAGTGTATGTCAGCTCAGGTCTTTCTCCCTTTTCTAATAAAGCCACCCTGATGACCTCATATGATCTTATTTCCTCCGAGTGCCACCAGTACATGAGTTTCGGGATTAAGTTCCAGCATGTATTTGAAGGACAAGGAAAACCTCAAATACCTAAATTTTCAAATATTCTTAGCATCCACTTTCTTTGAAGTCAGAGATAAACGTAACATAACTTTTCCAGGAAGTGGTAGAAATCAAACCCAGGGCCTTGCATATGCTAGGCAAGTGTTCTATCCGTACCCCATTTTTTTTCATGGTTAATATCTTTTTAAAAAATTCCAGGGACTAGAGTGATGGCTCAGTGGTTAAGAGCACTTGCTCTTACAGAGGACCTGGGTTTGGTTCTCAGCATCCACACTCATGTTGTGCAAGGCCCATGGAGGCCAGAAGAGGGCATTGAATCATCTGAAACTAGAGTTACAGACCATTGTCAGCTGCCATGTGGATGCTGGGAACCGAACCCAAGTCTTCCACAGAGCAGTCAGTGCTTTTAACCATTGAGCCATCTCTTCAGCCCCCTTGAAGAACTTCTGATGAACTTTTATAGTCATAGGATAAAAGACAGTGATAAATCAATGCATTTTTCCAAATGAAATGGTGGGTGTCAGGCAGGTGGGTCACAGCCCAGTAGGGAGAACTCTGCGGGGGTTTCAAATGCTGCCTCGTGACATTGTTGAGTTGGTAGAAGGCAGTCAGCTAAGTTAATATATTTTAAAAGTTTTATCTGATGGTTAAAAGGATATAAGGTCACATACAGAGACTGGTAATAAGTGGTGTTAAGGGAACTAAAATAACCCAAGATGATTTTGATTCTTAATTGCAACATTCTAATTTGCCACAATTGGGAAGTTCTAACCAGTCAGTCAGTCTGTAGACTCTTCAGCAGAGGCTTTTTCAGGGACCTTCAGTTCACAGTACCTTTCCGCTTTCCAAACTATCAGAGGTATAAAGTGGTTCTACCATTTCAACATGAGACATGCTGTCACATGACTTTTCCTGGAGAAATGTAAAGAAACTTCCACTCACCTTGTAACTAGAGTTTTAGGACAAAATCCCCATACCTGGCAGCCCCACAGGCTAAGATCAGTCGCTCAACCAGACAGATAAAGGGGTGAATTATGTGGAAAGTTGGGAAAAGGGTCAGATAAAGGGTCTGTTGATTACAAGTTCATCTTTGGCATCCTGACAACTTTAGACAGAGGAATAATTGGGACACGGAGTATGCCCAAGATGTGGTCTACCTGATCCCTGTCTCAGTTCTGGTTCTAGAAGGCGGCCAGGGAGTTCTCATTGCTCAAGGAGATAAGCTAGTTCATAGTAGATGATTGAGTACAGACTCCATTTCATGGATAATCACCTGCATCTTGGGGTTGGTCTGTTCTCTGACTTCCTGGAACCCGAGGTGACTGCAGGTTTAGGACAGTGGTTCATCTTGGTGCTTCAACATTGAAGACAGATGAGACATGTGCATAGTAGAGAGATGCTCCTTGAGTGATTAACATGCCTACATAGAGTCCAGCAGGAGTCTGACCTATAGAAAAGCAGACAGATGCAGAGCCAAGGCCAGGATGCTGCATTTAGTGATGGTGCTGGGTAGCTTTAGTTGTCAACTTGACGTACCTGGGTAGAGGGAACCTCAGCTGGGGAATTTCCTCAGTTGGAATGGCCTGTGGCTGTGTCTGTGGGGCATCTTGATTGTTGAGTGATGTGAGAGGGCCCAGTCCACTGTGGGTGGTACCACCCCTGGGCAGATTGTCCTGTATTGTATAAGAAAACGGGTAGAGCAGGGGCCAGTAAGCAGAGTTCCTCCATAGCCTGTGCTCCAGCTCCTGCCTCCAGGTTCCCACCCTGAGTTCCACAGACCTAGCTATCCACTATGTTATTTTGCTTATTCCATTAACAGAACTGCAGGTCAAGGTCATCTGTAGGTCACCACTTTAGCGCTGCTTCGTCTCAAGCCTGGAGGAAACTGCTACACCACATCTAGACACTGTTTGCATATTTTCAGTCAGACTAATTAGTCACAAAAGTTGAGCCTGTTCTATGTATTTCAGGAGAATACAAAGAGGATTCATTCAAAGAATTCAATGCTTCAAACCTATCGGAAAAGTTGAAAGCAAAGTTAAGGGGAGAGGAGAACACAGGTTTTGTATCCAGGGAATCAGGACATTCCTGCTGCCACCGAGAGGCAGGAAATTCAGTGGTCAGTGTCAAGGCTGAAGGTCATAGCTGCCTTGCAACACAGAGGAAGGTAATGAGAGAAAGTTGCAGACAGACAGACCAATAGAGACAGAGGATGAATCTCAGTCTGGAAATGGTTATTTAAAAAATGCAGATCAGAGTGGCAGGTTTGGGAAAGGAGCCAGCATAAAGTTATCCTTCACCGTGAGCTGTATTGAGAGAGAGCCTTGTGACCAGGGTGGGCATGATCAGGTCTCGAGGCAGGAGAACATGAGGAGAGATACAGCACCAGGCCAGAGGCAGAATGCCAGGGTGTTGAAGAGGGAAAGAGGTTTCCCTTCTCTCCCAGACCTTGGGGAGGGTCTTCATTCGGAGAGAGAGAGACCATGTACAACATGATGGGGGGTCCTGAAGGGAGAGATAGACACTTCAATTTCCCTCAGAGACCTCAAGACAAAGGGGAGTTTTCTGGCATCCATAGGTTTTCTAGGGGTGCTGGGATGTTCCCCTGGGCCAGATTTAGTCTGGCCTCATCTCCAAGCCAAGGAGCCATGTTCTGGGTAAGACCATTAGTTGATCTTGCAGCTCTAAGTGGAAGAGGCTGAGTTTGCTTTCCCCACTGAGGCCTCTCTGCTCCAACCTTCACAGCCGGGGCATGTCATCCCTGACAGACTGCAGCAGTGTGTGGTCTGATTTCTAGGAGCGGGAGAAAGAACTCTTCCAGACACTGAGGGGCCAAGGCCACCATAGAAGAGGGAGCAAATAATGTAGAGTGCTCAGATAACATCTGGAACATTCTTATTTTGTAAAGGTCAGACATGCTGTTCTTTCATTTGAGTCCATTTTATTAGCTGGAGTAAAATAAGATTAGGGATCTCACTGGCCTCTCATATAGAGAGGGATAGCCTGGAAACTCCTGACCTCAACTGAAATCTTACCATAGAAGAAAGACCACCTTTTCTCTCCCAAGCAAAGCTAGTTACTAAATGAGCCTCGCTGTCTTACATAGCCAATCCTGAGCCTTTCCAGATTGTCAAATGAGTGAGGCTCTGTGTCTGCTCGTTCAGTATTAGAAGACCCAGAACAGCAGTATGACTTCAGGATTTGGCGAGAACATGGCATCCATAGTTGGATGATGTTGGGTCTACCTCTAGGCTTACAGCTCCTGGTTGGAGGACCTCAGGAACATCAGCTCCTCTCCCTGGAAGGTCAAAGCCCAAGATCACCCAGTTCTTCCCAGTTTTCAGTTCAGTTCTCACAATGCAGGGATTCCACCAGGTCACTGCAGCAAGGCTGACCTCACTCTCAGAGATCCTCATTCTCAGCTTCTCAAAGAGTCAGATTTTCTTGTGTAGAGTGAGTGTGTAAAGATTGAGTCCTCTTGGTGTTTATCACCTGAGTACCTCAAAAGTGC